GCAATTCCCACACTGTGTCTCTGGTGTTGTCCCCTGCAGGGCCATGGGTCAGTGACGGGCATCATGTCTCATGGTGGGGCTGGCCATGTGCTGACCTGCATTCTAAGGCCCACTGGTGCACCTCTCACCAGGGCTTCAGTGGAGATGGTGAAGTGGTAAAGTCCGGGGCTTGGCGGGGGCCTGGCCTGCATGCCCACACTCGGTCTCATGGTACTTGTGGTCATGTTTAAGGCAGGGCGGAACTGCCCCTGTGGGTTTCTGAGACTGGAACTATTTATGGGAGTACAGAGCCTCACCCTTCTGCGGAGCGGCTGTGATTTCCAACCACTACCTTTCAGCTTAGCTGCTACCCCGGGCTTCTCAGTGAGTTCGGTGTGATGTGCGGGTGAAGGCTGCCAGGGCATTCCCACCCTTCTACCCTTGTGCGTCCCTCTCGTGGGAGTGGTAGCGGGGGTGCACTCAGCTGCCATGGCCGTAGGCCGGCCTAGTGGCAGTAACCTGATGGCCATCTGTGCCGTTCCCCAGGCTACAGCGGAGAGCGGTGCGAGGTGGACGAAGACGAGTGTGCCTCGAACCCCTGCCAGCATGGGGGCCAGTGCCTGCAGCGCTCCGAGCCAGCCCTCTATGGGGGCACCCAGTCCACCTTCCCTGGTGCCTTCAGTTTCCGCCACGCAGCTGGCTTCCTGTGCCGTTGCCCACCAGGCTTTGAGGGTGAGCCTCCCCAATAGGGGTGCAGGGGTGGATCCCGGATCCCTCAGTGGGCTCCCCCTGCCCCAGTCTGCTCCTCTCTCCTGCTCCAAGACGGGCCCTTGCAGTTGCAGCCTGGCTGAGTCTCAGCGGGGCCTCTTGCAGGGGACGACTGCGGTGTGGACGTGGATGAGTGCGCCTCACAGCCCTGCGTCTCCGGAGGCCGCTGCCAGGACCTGCCCAATGGCTTCAAGTGCCACTGCCCTGATGGATACACAGGTGCCCGGCTGTGGGGTGGGCGCCGGGGCCGAGCCTGGGGGAGGACTGATGGAGATGCAGCTCAGGAGGCAGGTGCAGAGATGACCGTGGTGACCACCGAAGGCAGAGCTGGAACCTGGGTATAGAAGATGGGGAAGGAAGAGACTGACGGGCTTGAGAGCTATTGGAAGGGTCCTGAGGGGAGATGTCGGAGACCACAGCTGAGGCTCAGCCCTGAGTGACCGTTGGAAGGTGGACTGTGAGCCCTGCTGAGTCTGAGTGTGTGCAGAGCATGGAAGGGTAGGGGCAGTTGGTCCAGGGTGTGAGGCCCAGGAGAGGGGCCCGGGTCAGGGAGAATGTAATCCTGGCTGCTGGGAGCCAGGTTGTCTGGTAGAATGTTGGAACACCTTAGACACCGGAGAGCCAGGAGGTGGGCGGAGAGCGTGGAGGCTGTAGGCAAGGCAGAGGGTGGAGGGCTGGGGCAGCATCGGTGGAGAGTGGAGTTTGGCTTTTGGGGAGCTGGGACCCATTGGATGGGGGAGCAAGGGTGCAGAAAGACGCTCGCTGCCTTGTGTACAGGCAGATATACTGACACCCTTCCATGCAAAAGCTGGGGAGCCCAGGGGCTTACAGATACATCCGCAGAATGTCCTTAGCCTCTCTGGAATGCTGGAACATCTCCCCCGCACCGCCACATTCTTACTTGGGCACACTGCCTCCTCTCCTGGCAGGGTTCCTGGGCACAGGGGAAGGAGATGTGGGCACCACTAACCCTTGCACCTTTGCCTGCCTGGAAGAGGCTAGAGTTTAGCCTCCGCTGCCCCTGGGTGCCCAACACACTGGGCAAGGTGTGTCCATGCTCCTGAGGGCCCTGAAAACCCATCCTCTAACGTCCTGGGAGCAGTGGCCACTCAGGCCTTTCCCAGAAAAAAGACCCTCTGAGCCTTTCCGTATTTCCTCCTCGCCACAGCTCCATGACCTGGAGGTCTGCAGTCCATCTTACAGATGAGGTGGCTGCTTGGGGAGGAGTGTCATCCCTCCAGGTTTGCTAGTGTCGGTGGGAGCCCAGCTCTTCCCTAAGCTAAGTTCAGCTGATGGATGACAGTGCAGGCAGATCAGGGTCAGGGGCCAGGAGAGGGACCCCAGCTATGGGCCTGGGCTCCTTGCCACTGTCCACACCTCCTCCCTCTGGGCTGTGCTGAGCGTGGGGGCAGCCAGCGCCTGGCATTCCTGAGCTGGGTCTGAAGGAGGCAGCCACGCCGGCCGGGGAGCTCTGCTCCCCAGCCTTGGTACCCACCTGCCACGCTTGGCCAGGCGGTGGGGGACACCATGGGACTGCAAGTCCTGTGGATCTTCTTGGGCAGCCTGGGGCTTCTGGCAGGTATGGAGGCTTGGGGACTGCGGGGGAGGTTTGGGCTGTGGCTGGCAGTACCCTGATGAAGGCTGTGGTGTGTGGACTGACTGGGGCCTACCTTCAAATCCTGGTGGCTTCTTTGGACCTTTTCTGATACGGGTGCAGGGCTAGCCCTGGCTGGTTTCCAGAGGCTTTGGTTGACCCCCAAGCTGGGGTCAGAGCACCTGCCCTGGGAGCTCATGGAGGTAAGAATGAGAAAGTCCCTTGGCAGCTGGCCAGTGTGAGGGACCCCAGGACAGATCGAAGGAGGGCTGGAGTCTGGAGGCCCCTCAGAGAGCCCCAGATGTATACATCCACCCGTACTCACTCCTCCATCATCCTTCTGTCCACAGACGCCATGCCAGTTCCTCCGCTGGGCACTGGGGACATACTCGGGCCCCCAGAGGAGGTCTCATACAAGCCCTGTGGTGTAGTGCTGACAGCTGGGCTGTGATCTGAAAGATCAGCAGTTTCAAGTCACCAGCCGCACTGAGGGAGAAAGATGGTCCCATAAACAGAGTCTGGGAAACTCATGGGACAGTTCGACCCCGTCCTACAGGGTGGTTATGAGTCGGCATCGACTTGATGACAGTGTTTGGCTTTGGTTTGGAGGAGGTCCCAGTGGAGTAAACACATATGCTCTGAGCAGGCTTCTGGAGAGCTATGGCTAGGTGGGGGTGGGGTGGGGGTGGAGTGGGAGGGGCTGGGGAGTCAGGGACCATCTCGCAGGGGAAGGGCCTTTTGAGTTTGGCTTTGTAGGCTGAGTAGCAGTTTAAAAGGTGGACAAGGGAGGCGAGATGTTTCAAGCTGAGGGATCACCAGGAGAAAAGCCCTAGAGCCAAGATTCCCCAGAAAAAGCCGTTCCAGGTGTGCCAGGAGCAGGGTGAAGCCCCCCAAGGACAAGAGCTTGGGCCTGTGCAGCAGCGCAAGGTGGGCCGGTAATGCTTCCGAAATAGGTCTCTTGCTGCTGGCAGAGATGGACGGGAGGCCGTTCTTAAGGCAGGTGAACCAGAGGAGGCTGACCTTGGTCCAGAGAGCTGACGAGGCAGGAGAGGTGGGGTGGGAGAGAAGAGGAGGCTGGGGAGAGTTTCGGAGGTGTGAATCTACAGGGCATGAAGCCTGGCCAGTTGGAGCAGGGGGAGCGGGGCGTTTTGTACTCTGGCTCTGGGCTGGGTTTGTTTGATAGGTGCAGAGGTCCCGTGCTATGAGGCATGGAAGTAGTAGCTCCAGGCTGGGGTTCTGCTCCTGGGTGCTGAGCCTCAGTCTGGCTTGTCCCACAGGCCTGACATGCCAGGAAGACGTGGACGAATGCCTGTCGAAGCCCTGCCTCCATGGTGGCACCTGTGATGACACCATAGCGGGCTACATCTGCTGGTGCCCAGAGAGCTGGGGTGGGCACGACTGTTCTGTGCAGCTCACCGGCTGCCAGGGCCATACCTGCCCACCAGCTGCCACATGCATCCCCATCTTTGAGTCTGGGGCCCACAGTTATGCCTGCCACTGCCCTCCAGGTACCCATGGACCTTTCTGTGGCCAGAACACCACCTTCTCCGTGGCAGCTGGGAGTATGGTGGAGGCATCCGTGCCAGCAGACAGCCCCCTGGGGCTGAGCCTGCGGTTTCGCACCACGTTGCCTGCTGGTAGCTTGGCCACTCGCACGGACACCCAGAGCAGCCTGCAGCTGGCTCTGGTGGGGGCCACACTTCAGGCCACACTCAGGAGCCATGGTGTCACTGTGCTCATCCTGAGGTTGCCAGAGCTGGCCCTAAACGATGGCCACTGGCACCGGGTGGAAGTGACACTCCACCTTGGGACCTTAGAGCTGCGGCTCTGGCACGAAGGCTGCCCTGCCCGCCTCTGTGTGGCCTCTGGTCCTGCAGCCCTAGCGCCGAGCTCTTCAATCGCTCTGTCGCCTGCCGGACTCTGCTCCACCCAGCTGGGAGGTGCGGCCTTTGCCGGCTGCCTCCAGGATGTACGTGTGGATGGGCGCCTCCTGCTGCCGGAAGTGCTTGGCAAGCATGTCATGCAGGGCTGCCAGCGCCAGGAACAGTGCCAGCCTCTGCCTTGTGCCCATGGAGGGGCCTGCACGGACTTATGGACTGACTTCCATTGTGACTGTCCTCGGCCTTACAGTGGCCCCACATGCACTGATGGTGAGGAGAGGACCAGGTGGGAAGGGGCAACTCCCCCCCATCCTGCAGGCCTCATACTCGGTCCCCTCTCTCCCTGCAGAGGTTCCTGCTGCCACCTTTGGCTTGGGGGGCACTGTGAGCTCTGCTGCCTTCCTGCTCCCTGCGCCCCCTGGCCCCAATCTCACAGTGTCCTTCCTCCTCCGCACCCGGGAGCCTGCGGGCCTGCTGCTCCAGTTTGCCAATGCCTCGGCCACCGACCTGACAGTGTTCCTGAGCGGGGGGCAGATTCAGGCCGAGGTGCCAGGCCAGCCTGTCCTGGAGCTGCCTGGACGCTGGAATGATGGGCTTCGCCACCTGGTGACGCTCAGCTTTGGGCCTGACCAGCTGCAGAACCTGGGGCAGTGGGTGCATGTGGGGGGCAGGCTTCTCCCTGCTGACTCCCAGCCCTGGGGTGGGGCTTTCCGAGGCTGCCTCCAGGACCTGCAACTCAACGGCCACCACCTTCCCTTCTTCCCACGGTCGGTGGCCAACTCAAGTGAGGCCAGCACAGTGGGCGGCGGGCAGACCTGGAACCTCACTGAGGGCTGTGTCTCAGAGGACACGTGCAGTGTGAGTACCCGGAGCGGGGAGTGGAGTGGCGTGGGTGGCCTGGGCCTTTTCTCAGAACCTACTGTACACCACTGTCATCGCTGAGGCTTAGCATGCCCTTTTGCAGAAGAGGGACCCAATCCGATCTGCATGTTAAGGAAACCGAAACTCAAGAGATCAATGACCTAAGTCCCCCTTCTGGAGAGCAGCAGGGCAGGACAGGGTTGCATTTGCCTCCTCTCCTCCCTTTTCTCCCTGCTGGTCCCCTAAAGTGACCCCTTGTCCTGAGTGACCCAGGCACCCCAAAGCAGGCGGAGGGCTGCTGGAACTTCTGCAGGGGCTGCTCAGGGGGCAGGGACCCCCGTAGGAAAGGGGACAGGTCATGGCCAAAACATTCTGGATTTGAGTAGTTGCGTGTGAACCCCGGTTCTTCTCTTTGCTGGGTGGTTGTCCGTTATATCACTTTCCTTATCTGGAGCTCCCTTCCCTTGCCTGTGAAATGGGGTTGAGATCAGCTTTCTGCCTCTCAGTGCAGTCACTGACATGATGGTGGTTCTAGCTAGTCTCCAGGCTGAGCTGACCCCTAACCTGCTTCTCCTGCAGCCCGACCCATGTCTCAATGGTGGGACATGCCTGGTCACCTGGAATGACTTCCATTGTACCTGCCCTGCCAACTTCACAGGGCCCACATGTGCCCAGCAGCTGTGGTGCCCTGGTCAGCCCTGCCTCCCACCTGCCATGTGCGAGGAGGTCCCTGATGGCTTCGTCTGTGAGTGTGTGTCCTGGGGACCCAAGCTAAGCTAGGTCCCATCCCTTCCCTATAGGCCTACGGGCTGCTGGACAATGTAATGGAGTGCCAGCAGTTTCAGGCCAGCATAGCTGGGCACTGCATCCAGAAAGAGGAGCGGGGCTTACCAGGGTTAATGAGTTTCCCAGGGCAGAAAGAGAGGGCGGCTCAGGGAGCAGGAACAGCATGTGCAAAGGCACTGAGGTCTGTCAGACCAGCTGAAACCGGCACACAGGGAGAGGGTTAAGTGGCAGAGGGACAGGATCAGACCTCTATTCTACGGGAGGTTTGTGGGAGGAAGGTGGTTCTTATGGCCAGGCCTGTGACCAGCAGGGGAGGGTGGACATCTGGACTCCCTAGCACTGCTCTGGGGAGCTGGTTCTCTGGAAGTAGGAAATGCTTGAAAAGGTGGAAGGAGACCGGTAGGGGGCCTGCGGGTTCTGGAATTGGATGACTGGGTGGGTGAGATGTGGATGCCCAACACCTGGTCAGCGGGTAGTCTCATCCGGGTGCTTGGGGTAGGGGTGGAGCATCCCTGTCAAGGGCGTGGCCACACCCCTAGGGATACGCCCCACCACACCCTCTCTCTTCACAGGTGTGGCTGAGACCACGTTCCTCGAGGGTCCACCTGCCGAGTTCAGTGGACACAACCTGTCCGCGGCACGCACTTTCGGCAGCCTCTCCCTGACCTTCCGTACGCGTGA